ATATTCAAGTGCTTAAAACAAATACAAATAAAACATCCTAAAATTTTTTTGAGCAAAGAACCAAGTAAGAAATACATTTTCAATTTTGGACTAGTGGCGAGCCTAGTCAAAATCAATTTTGTCACTTTTTTCTTCGAGGGTTTATGCAAATGGATCGAAACTTTGCATAAATATTTTAGTGCTTAAAACAAATACAAATGAAGCATCCTAAAATTTTTGAGCAAAGAAGCAAGTAGGAAATACATTTTCAATTTTGGACTAGGGGCGACCCTAGTCAAAATCAATTTTGTCACTTTTTTCTTCGAGGGTTTATCCAAATGAATTGAAGCTTTGCATAAATATTCTAGTGCTTAAAACAAATACAAATACAATTTTGTTTTTTTTTTTCTTCGAGGGTTTATCCAAATGGATTGAAACTTTGCATAAATATTCTAGTGCTTAAAACAAATACAAATAAAACATCCTAAAATAGTTAACTATGGTCGCCCCTAGTCCAAAATTGAAAATTGATTTTCTATGGTGTACTTTGGTAAAAAAAATTTTTTTTGTTGTTTTATTTGAATTGACATAATATCTGACATAAATCACATACCAATATTACTTTTTGTAATGCATAGCTTAAATAAAATCGAAATCTAAAATTTCGACTACCCCATCTGAATTTTGTGCATACTCTTCACTGTGGAAACCAAAAAACAAATTGCTTATCTTAAAACACTTGACAAAATAGCGACATAATTCAGGATTAATTACTTTTTAATAATATTTTAACATTTATGAGAAAATGTGGTTCAAATAAGTGTGAAGTATGGCCGAGATTTGGACCAAAATCAGCTATACTGGTTCATAGTGTTCCCGAGGGTGACAAAATTCAAACTAAGTGTTTTTGTAGCTGACATAATTATGACATAAATTAGGTATATCTTTTGAACTGTGTCGATATGGGTCTCGGCCGTACTTCACGCCCACCCTTCAAACTTATGCTGAGCAAATCTTGGTCTATCCATAAGACTTTTGATGGTACGGTGTGAATATATCCGCATTGGGTTTCTACCCGATACAGTAGTTAAGTTTAAGCTTTAAATTAAAAAGATATGAGAGGTCCTGTGTACTCAAAATACCCATTCGCGAAAATAAGAAAGTCGTCAATATACTTTTCATAAAGTATTAGCTTTTTAAAATTGAATTTTAATGATTTATGATGAACTATTCGAAAAGCTTTTCTCGTTTTGAATCAAGTTTCAAAAATGCGTTAAAAATTTTTGAACATAAAAATTTTTATCAACTATACAGTGGGCAAATATACGAGTGGGCTAAAGTATCAGTGGGCAAATATATCAATCGGCAAAAGTACCAGGGGGGTAATGTTCCAGTGGAAAAATGTCAGTGGGCATATTTAGAGTGGGCAAAAGTCAGTGGGCAAATGTCCTTAACCCATGTAAATTAGTTTTGTCCGTGGCAGTGTTTATATAGGTGTTTATTTGATAGATAAAATCACTGAAGTGCAGAGCCAAAAAAAATATACAACTGAATTAAAAAATGTTGATTTAAAGAAAAATTCATAGATATGCCGTGAAAAATCTGAAGTCAAAGTGTGCCGTGGCTGCAAAAGTTTAGCAAAACTGTTGTAAATGTTGAGAATGACATTTTTTGTTGCAATTCACGAAAAAAGGTTCAGTTTTCAATTTTTTTTGCTTTTTTAAGCATTAAGCAAACGGTAATTAATTAATTTCGTTCAAAGTATTCCAAACTCAACATTAATTTAAATTTAATTTTAACATTAACCATTGTAAAATTAACAATGGTTTTTGTATCTTTTTTTTCATTTTAATTGCACTTTATTGCATTTATTGACGACATACTGTCCGGAAATAATTCACATTTTACACTTTTGTATTTGTATACATATGAATTAGTATTATGTAGGATCAAACTTCTAATCTTCATATCTAGGTATCAAATAAACTAAGGCTCTCGTTTCGATCTTTTGTGGGCGTGACGTGATACTTTTCAGGTCCGGTTTAACAATATTCCATTCGTGGGTAATCTTGTAGCTCTTGTTCGTATTTCTCCCGCTACACTTCAAATTCCTTACCCGTTCCTTAATCCAACGTTGCCCAAATGCCCAATTATGGCTTGATCTCGTACATTAAGCAGTCGAAGTATCTAAACTTCCGAAAAAGAACAAATTTGGAAATGGCTGGATTCGAACCGACGATCTTCGAGTTACCATCCCAAATTTGAGCCAAGCGCCTGACCCATTCGACCAACAAGGTACTTAACTGCTTTGACAGAAATCTAAACAATCAGCTTTTTAATTCAATGTAAAATGTATGTTAACGATGAAATGGGTGAAAAAAAATATCACACAAAATTAACAATTTCAAAATATTAAAAATTTTATGAATTTTTTTTATATCATGGCAGACTTTTTAATGTTTCATAAAAACATTTTGTTTTTCTGGATTTTGTGGTGCCAGGCAATTTCGATTCAGACTACCATTTTCATATTTTTATTTTCAACGCTGACGCCCCTTGGAAAAACCTTCGAAAATGTTATTTTTTTAAGGTGCAAAAACGACCAAAATTGTCGTTCTGCAAAATAAATAAGGAAGTATTGAAAAACTTCTTCAAATTGTTAAATAATGAAAAAGAAACTTATCATTTTAAAATTTTAAAGTCTTGGGGATAATTTAAATTTTTGCTACTTTTAAACTGCTCCAGCTACTCTTTTGCTGCTTTTGCCTTGTTTTTACCTGTTTTTTACTGCTTTTTTACTACTCTTGCTACTCTTTTACTGCTCTTTGCTGCATTTTACTACTTTCTTCTTTTTTCTAATAATCTTTACTATTTTTTGCTCCTTTTTGCTGATTAACAAAGTTTTACACTACATTTTAATAACTTCATTCAGTTCTTTCCTGCACGATTTTTGGAGTTCCCACACCTGGATTTGGACTATGTCAAAAGACGGAAATTTCATTCTCTTTTTGCCCATGTGAAAATTCTAAGAGACCAATTTGCTTAGTTACTTAAAGCATTATCATGTGTTTTTTAAACAGATTTAATAAATTTTCTTAATTGAACATGTAAAAGTCTGCCTAATTTTTGCTTTGACGAAAAAGAAATTTTATATGTATTTAAAAAAAATCTATTCGTCCTACTTTTACACTTAAAATTTATTTAAAAATTATCATGCCGTGGAAAAACTATATATCACAAAAATAATTTTTAGTTCAATCCAATAATGTATTTTGTCTGCAATTTTTCACTTCATTTTCTATTTAATATCTAAACCTTTCACTTTTCACTTTTTTATAAAAAAAATTTTATGCATGCGTAGTACTCGTCGATTATTTCATCGTAAACACAAGCACACACACACTTTTGTCGCCAGCGCTGTATAAATATATTTTCAAAAAGAAATATATATAGCGTAAAGGAATTTGAAAAATGTTGTTATCACAAAAACTCACTTTGTTTTTTTGCTCTTTAAAAAACGAAATTAAATTAAAAAGTAAAAAAAAAAAACATATAATACTTCAAACATAGCGATTTGTTTTTTTTTTCTAAATATAGTCTTTTTAGAACACAAAACTGTTAATCTTATATTTTAATTTTATATTTTTTGTTTATTGACAATTTGAAATTTTGTATTACATATGGGCTCGGTCGAAAAATATGTTCCATTCAATTTTAACGGATTTTTGAAATTTATACTTTTATCTTTTTACCCTTTAATATGAAGAAAAATTAATTTACAAAAATTCAATTAGGGTAAAAAAATATGTGAATTGGTGCGAACAAAAAAAAATAATTTTTCTGACAAGGCTTTTTTGAAAGCCAATAACTCCTAAATGATGGTTGAAGAGGTCTCTACAAAAATTAGTCAAAAAAAAAAAAAACGAATTTATCGAATTTTTTTAAATATTTTTTATATTTTCCAAAGGTTAGCACTGCCTCAGAATTTGAACATTTATGCCAAATTTGAAAATTGGTGCGACATTACCAAGTAGGCGACTAAAATAAATCACAGTTTTTACCATTTTTTGTTCACTTTTGATGCCAAATTCGCTTTAAAAGAAATAGACAAACCTTACTTCAATCGCCTACTTGGTAATGTCGTGCCAATTTTCATATTTTGCTGCACCAATTTTAATATTTTCCGCACCAATTATCATATTCGACAAAAATGATTGAATTCTGAAGCAGTGCTTACTTTTAAAAAATTTAGCAAAAATGTTTTCTGAAATTTTGGACAATTCGTTATTTTTATCTTCATACGGTTTTTACGTGTGAATCTATTGGTTTTGTTCAGATTGAAAAATCAGTTTTTCGCATTTTGTGAGAAAACGAAGCAAAATTGGTTATAAAATGTTCCAGAAGAAAAGTTTGTGCCTGAAATTTTACATCTTTTGCAAAAAAAGATATATCTTTATATCTTCAAACTTATGATGAGTGAAGCTCTGCCGAATCTGAATCATTGTGAAATAGTTTTTGATTAAATATCATGCATCAGATAAAAAGTTATGACTCTTGAAACCTATATTAATATTTAACAAGTTATGAAAATTTTTCTGAAAAATTTAAAGAAGTGGGACTTTTTTTAGTGTCAGATTTGGCTTGTTTTTTATCTCAATTAAGACTTTAAATTATCATATGCACATCAAAAAGCTCGTTTTTAGAAACTCTTAAACATAAAATATTGAGATATTTAAACTAATGTCCAGGAAAAGAGAAAAAAAAAAATAAAAACTTTCTGATTTCTGACACCTGTTCAACATAAGACCAAGCCCATATCTTAATTTTATTTTCGATGCGTTTTGCTTAAATGCATCGAATAATAATTATTTAAACTTTATTTTCCTTCTTTTTAAAACTGCGTTTTTCCGATACTTTGCTTTGCTTACTCATGTACAGAATTTTATTTTTAAGCGAGCAGAAAATTCTCACGAACAGATCTTCATTTATTTTTCTTCTCTCTTTTCAAAAATAAAACTCACCAAATCACCGTTCTATAATATTTTCTCTTCTTTTTCTGATTTTTACTGTTCTCGGATGATTCAATCACTGTTTTTTTTTTCACTTTTAAGTACAAAAAAATCATAAATTTACTTATGTTATGCTTTTCATATTATCTTTCTTTGAAAAATCTTAATCCAGTATTCAAAAAAGAGATAAAAGAGCTTGACCCTTTATGTTTATAATGCACAACACAATTTTTCATTAAGTTCAACTAAGTTTTAGGAAGTAAAAATATTTTAACATAAAAAAAAGGAACAAACAAGTGTATCGGGTAGAAATTCATTACTGATTTATTCATAGTTAACTAATTGAACGCTTTAAATAAAATATTAATGTCAAATCACATACTTTATGACTTATTGCATGTCCTCTAGAAGCCTTATTATTTATTATGAATCTTAAGTATGCAAAAAAAATTAATTTGAAGTAAATTTTTTAGCAAAAATTTTTCATGGAATTAAAAATAAATATACACAAACTTGAAAACGGTGTGAATATAAAAAGTTTTTTTTTAATTTCCGCATTTATATTTTCTTCCCATTAATTCATAATATATAACATAATAATTTTTAGTCATTTAAAATTTTGAAGCCTTTTTTACATTATTTAAATCATATGTATAAGTAAAATTGGAACAAAAAATAAAAAATTCTACATTTCATTTTTCGCTCTGTGACTTCATGTAGTTTAATCTTTTCATAAAATGCTAAAAATATTTTATTTTCTCATCTACCTGGTAGACTAAAGAAAAAAATTTTGGGCCGGGGTTTTTTTTTGAAGACGAATCACAAATTTTTCCCTTATTTAAATTTTTTTTTTCAAAATTAATTTATTTTTGGATATTTGGTTTAGTTTATTATTCTGTAGAAAAAGAGCACTTCACGTTTTATTATCTAAAAAGAAACACCTTAAAAAATCAAGTTGATTCAAGCAAAAACAGCAACTGAATGAGAAACGGACGAGAAAAATGAAATTTCCTTTAAAATGTGAGGCATTGTAAGTATGATTCGGCTTGTTCTCGTTTTAAGCTTCGTCTCATTTTATGCATGCATGCGATCGGCGTTTATTGATGAGGAATTTCTCATTTCGTATATATTGTTTTAAATATTAAAATAAAATTTTCTTTCATTAATAAATGTGTAAACTAATTGATGTACCAATTAATTTTAAATATAATTTTGATTAAAAGTTTTCAAAACTAGTTAAATAATTATTATCATCGTTTTCATTATATTCTGATATGAAATTATATTAAAAAATTTTACTTTCGAACTTTAATATTCATTTCATGTAGTAAGTTGGTTCATAAGTGTTGTCACAATAAATTCTCTCTCTCATTATTTCTCTCTTTTTTCTATATAATTATACATATAGTACGTTCTCTTGTCCTCTCTAAAAATTTTCAAGAAAATTTTCTCACATTTGTAGTCGATGATACAGATGTTTACATTTTCACAATCAAAAGATATATAGCTATTTCGAAAGCATAAAATAATCACGATTCATGACCAATACAAGACATGTAAGCTTTGCACATTTTGTCATTTTCTTTCATAGTTAATAAGTTTTTTTGAAGTCTTGAAAATGGAAAGCTATGAAAAGTAGTGAAAATTGCTTAAATAAGCTGATCCCATACAAAATTATTTTTTTTGTCTTTTTAATTGATTGGAGGGCAATTCTCCAGATGAGTTGAGTTTTTGAAAAAAGAGCTTTTATAATCCAAAGTCATTTACTGTTTACTTTCAATTTTTGTTTTGTAAATATCTTGTCAATTTCTTTGTTTTGATTGCTTAAAGCAACTTTAAACTGTTTATTACGATTCACTATGGGGCAAAATTGAAAAAAAGCGGCAATTAAGGAAATTTTTGAACAGTTTTGAACTACGCTTTCAGGAATATTTTTTCTTGTAGAGGACATCAAAATTGACTTCTATGCCAAATTTCAGATCATTTGATGCTGTTTTTACAATTCTATGGCTGTTTGAAGTTGAAAATGAGTGAAAATTTTGATTTTTTCACGTCTTATTTAAACTGTCACATCTTTTTAATAGTTAAAGACATTAAGAAACGCTTTTCGGTTTCTAATAGTGTCATGCAAGAACTTTGTTTTCATTATGTACAAAATTTGTAATTTTGTAGTTTTGGTACCAGTATGGGAAGAAATGTGTGAAAATTCTATGAAAAATATATTCAAGCATGCCGCAAAGATCTTAAATGGCCACTTTTCAGTCATATAAGCACATTGTGTTTTAGCCTCCGTCTTCTTGTTTTCAAAAATGTATAAACATCAAATCTTTTTTGGTACTTTTTTGAGATAAATTGATTTAAATAAGTAGTAGAATAATTCAACAAAAAATAAAATATCTTATAAAAGTTACGAAACAACAACAAAAAATGAGTTTTGTGTTATTTTTCGATGACAAACAATATTTAAAAACAAATTGTGAATAAATTTTTTCAAAAAGTTCAAAATCTGCCAAGATATAGGGTACTTTTCATATCTGACGACTTGTATGGTTTTCGCATCACTCAAACTGCTCTTACTTTTGTGTACCTCAATATTTCTTAATTCTGTTTACAGTTTATTGTAGCTTAAATCTAGACCTTTCTAAGGATATATAATACTTTGTAGTTTACTATTATCTTGGTCATGAATTTAGGACTTGTTTGTGAACGACCCTAAACAACAAAAAATCTCAAAAACGTCATTTCTAGAAATATCACCTAGAAACAAAATTTGGTATTGTTTTTAGGTTTTTCATGATGATATATGATATTTATGACTATTAAAACTTAAAAAAGTGTATTTCATAAATTTTTTTGCGATTTTTGTGTATTTACCTATTCTGGTTGCGGTTCAGTATGTTTTTTGATTCACTCAAATGACTAGAACTTTTTTCAGAATTAATATTTTTGCAATCTGTTTTCGATTATTGCTAGATTAAATCAATACCTTTAAAATGATGCATAGTCCTTGCATGAAACTTTGTTATACTTACTCCTTGAGTGCGTTGAATGAGACCGACGAAAACTGGTCTTTATTAAAACATTCAAAAATTACTTCTTAGCAAACAAAAGTACTTAAAACTTATTTATTTTGGCTCAATTATGTTAAATATAAAATATAAATCATTAAAAATCTTCAAATTAGTCTAATACTGAAGTAATACTGATCAAATAGATACTACTAGGGTCGTACCTAATCAGGCTACCTGAGATTGCAAAAAGTTTATGAAAGGCACTTTTTTAAGTTTTAATAGTCATAAATATCATATATAATCATGAAAAACCTAAAAACAATACCTAATTTTGTTTTTATGTGATATTTCTAGAAATGACGTTTTTGAGATTTTTTGTTGTTTAGGGTCGTTCACAAACAAGTCCTAAATTCATGACCAAGATAATAGTAAACTACAAAGTATTATATATCCTTAGAAAGGTCTAGATTTAAGCTACAATAAACTGTAAACAGAATTAAGAAATATTGAGGTACACAAAAGTAAGAGCAGTTTGAGTGATGCGAAAACCATACAAGTCGTCAGATATGAAAAGTACCCTATATCTTGGCAGATTTTGAACTTTTTGAAAAAATTTCTTCGCAATTTGTTTTTAAATATTGTTTGTCATCGAAAAATAACACAAAACTCATTTTTTGTTGTTGTTTCGTAACTTTTATAAGATATTTTATTTTTTGTTGAATTATTCTACTACTTATTTAAATCAATTTATCTCAAAAAAGTACCAAAAAAGTTTTGATGTTTATACATTTTTGAAAACAAAAAGACGGAGGCTAAAACACAATGTGCTTATATGACTGAAAAGTGGCCATTTAAGATCTTTGCGGCATGCTTGAATATATTTTTCATAGAATGTTCACACATTTCTTCCCATACTGGTACCAAAACTACAAAATTACAAATTTTGTACATAATGAAAACAAAGTTCTTGCATGACACTATTAGAAACCGAAAAGCGTTTCTTAATGTCTTTAACTATTAAAAAGATGTGACAGTTTCAATAAGACGTGAAAAAATCAAAATTTTCACTCATTTTCAACTTCAAACAGCCATAGAATTGTAAAAACAGCATCAAATGACCTGAAATTTGGCATAGAAGTCAATTTTGATGTCCTCTACAAGAAAAAATAACCCTGAAAGCGTAGTTCAAAACTGTTCAAAAATTTCCTTAATTGCCGCTTTTTTTCAATTTTGCCCCATAGTGCGATTGATTCTTACTGAATCAACAATAATTCAACCACGAAGTGTTAAATTAAGACTAAAATTTAATTTTTATGAAATATTTGCTTTGCATTTTTTTCATGAATTTGCAAAATAAAAGCTTAATTTTTTTACTGTCAGCAAAAAAATCCACATAAAAATCAAAAATTCTCTTTAAATTGTAATTATTGGAATTATTATCAAAAACTACATTTCTGCATAATCATAATAAAAAATGAGTGTTTACTTTCCTTCAATTTTCGATTCTCCTTATGATTATTCCATTTTTTGCTGACAGTAATTTGCAAAAAAAATTGAAAAAACTTAATTATTGGCTACTTTCAAAGACTTAAATAGATAAAATATAAGAGTTTTTGCCATTTTACATCGATTTAAATGTAAAAGTTATGCTTGGTAATGGAAAATTTTCGAGTAAATTTGATTCTCCGGATGATTTTTTGAAAAACTTACCTGGAGAATTGCCCTGGATGCAATCAGTCCTTCTCGATAACACAACATGGTTGAAAAAACAAATGTCTATACTGCTTTATAGTTTGAAAAAGTTCATGGCTGAGAAAAGCTATTGGAAGTGCTCTAAAAATCGATTTTAAAATTACTGATTTTCAAATGTTGAAATTTGTGCGTTTTTATCGAAGCAATGGCTTATTTTGTTATTTATGAATGAAATTCATGTTATTAGAGAAAAAGGTGAAGATTAACATAAAGTAACTAAAGATGATTATGAAGCGATATCTTTAACCCGTTCTTTACTAGCGTAACATATATGTTACGCCAACTTTTTCGTTTAATTCTCTACAGTAGTTGGTTTTACGTTGAATCTTATTAATGATTTACATTTATAGTTAGATCAAGTACCTTCTTCAACATTTAATGCTGCATAATTATGTAAATTGGAGAAGTTAATTAAACTTTTCTTATGCATTGAAAATTTAGTCATTTTGAAACTCAAAATTTCAACATTTTCTGACACATTTTTGATCAGAACTGGACAGATTTATAAAGTAAAGCATCTATAGTTATAGTTAAAAACTCATTAATAAAGATAAAACATAGTTAAACACATTAACTATGTGACGATAATAAATGTAACATATGTGTAACGCTAGGAAAATACGATATAAATTGCCCGTTACTTATGTGTAACGCTAGTTTTTTGCAAATATTTTAGTGTTTTGGATTTAAAATATTATTTAATTAATTAAATTAATTTGGCTTTGATTTAAGCTAAATCATTATGTGTACGGCTTAATCATGATAAGAGTGACGTATTTTTTGGCATAAATATTAACATTAGTGCTTCATGGAGGAATTTTTTCCATTAGAAAAAAATTTGATTATAAAATTTGGAGAAAATTTCAAAGTGATTTTTTTATGATTTAAACTGATTTCGCGTGATTCTTAGTTGAATGATTAATAAAATAGAGTGAAAATAACGAGTTGGTGAGGTATAAACGCTGAAAAATGTCTCATTTCAAAGATATGACATAAAATAAAAGTGTATATATTTTTGAGTTATTTTCGTTTTCCTATGAATTAGAGTGTTTAAATTAAAGTCCAATTATGTGAAATAGCATATAATTAATTAAAAAGTTTTGCATTATTGACATATGTAAAGCAAAGAGGTAAAATAAAAGAATTTAAGTTTTTGGAAGAAAAAAATTTTTTGCTTCCAAACTCCTAGCGTAACATATATGTTACGGACAAAATTTGTTAATTCTATTAAATCTGTGCATTTATTTGAGCCAAACTCATCGTCAAACTTATTTTTATACTGTAATTCATCAAATAAATGCACTCTAATGGCTCAAAAAAATTCCGTAATTAACGGGTTAAAAAATATGTGGGGCTTGAAACTTTGGGAAAATCACGATTTTAGCTCCAAAAAAATGTAAACAAAAAATAACTATTAAAAAAAAGCACAAATTTCAACAATTTTTGCACAAATTTCTTTTCCTATAAGCAGCACTTCTTTCAAAAAGTATACGAAGCTGAAACTTCCAACAATTTCTGGTTTTTTGAGACTATTGGTAAATTTTTTTAATCAGCCATTAAAAAGTTGCATTCAAATCAAATCTTCATGTGCAAACACAAATTTCATCATGTATTACCCTAAATAAAGTGAAATATTCTTTTCAACAATTACTTACTCTTCTTTTAAATAAAGTTCTCTCTTTTAAAGCTTATTATAAAAAAAAACATAAATAACACTTAAAAATCACGACTCGTCCAAGCAAAAACCCGTTGCGATCTAAAATTTCTCATTTTCATTTCGATTTTACGTTTTTATGTTATTCGTTTTCTCTCTCGACATTAAGATATTTGTGTCT